TAGACAGAGTGTCTGCCTCCGGACTAAAAATGGTAGCTCGTTCCACTGGAGAGGCGCCTAATACCTAAGAGATCTGCCTCCCATTCTACTTTTAGAAATTCTAGGAACCACTAGTAAACCTGCAGATTGAAAGCAAAGTGTTCTCAATCATATCTCTGTTATCAGATGGAGCTTGGCCATTTAAGGATTTATATGTAAGAAGGGATTTTTCATGGAGGGGAAAAAAAGAATGAAACCTACACAACAATGAACAGAGGAAGAGCTCTTTTCATAGTTTTTTGAGGCACAATCCTATAAGTTCTTCTTATTCCTTTAGAATTATTCTCATCAAATCAAAAGAGAAAATTACATTTGTTTAAGGCACAAATCAGTTACAATATGTTTTGTTAGAGCTTATTATAGGAAACTGGTTTAATATTACTGATGGTGGTCGGAGGGACTGGTGACGCCAGTGTACTGTAGCCTTGCTTCTGCACTGGAAAAAACATCTAAAAATAAGTCAAAACTTCTTAAAATAAGTTGATTTACCCATAATTTGAGTAGCTAAATAAGATGATTTGCCAATGGGATGAGTATTTTTATGCTTAATATAAGATAATTAGATAATATGCACTTGAAATAAGACAAAATTTTTTTTTGTTATTTTAAATGTAAATTGTCTTGTTCCATTGGTAGTGTCTCACTTGCCTCCTCAATTCAAGGCAAAATACACTTATTTTAAGAAAACAGGACTTATTTAGATTTTAATTTTTTCTCAGTGTGTCAGTGAGCCCCAGGACAGCTGCGGCTGCAAAGTAGCTCGCCACCATCAGTGCGTGAATGGGTGAATGACTGAATATAATGTAAAGGGCTTTGGTCAAGTCTTCTGACTTTAAAAGGCGCTACACAGGTAAAGTCCATTTTACCATTTACACTTAAAAAACGTTTATATCATAATTAATTGTCTTGTTCTATATGGATTTTGCTCTTTTCCAACTGGACTTTTAACAAGAACAAAGTGCTTTATTCAACTGAGACCAACATTGAGCTGTTTGCAGCTATGTCATGTGTGTGTATTTAGAATTAAAGCACAAAAGAAGTATTTTGACACTGTCAGGTCTAAGCACCTAAAACATCATGCATACATATAAGGAAAGAAAGAAGGCACAGAGACAATTAATTTAGTTTTACTCGCGAGGAGGAGACTGCAGAGTTTACAAATCTCCAACCCACTCTGCCGGTCTTCAGCTTTCTCCTCGCTATTTATTAAAGTCGGGGGGGTTCCCTAGTTACACAAGCTGAGGTTGTGCTAAAGGAATAGGAAACAAGAAATACAATTAAATTTGCAGCCTCAGTGAACAGGTCAATTTGCATTTAAATGTCTTGCGGTCAAATGGTCCGAGAACCTCCTGGTTTCGTTAAGCTTGAGCAATATTGAGAGTTGAGCTGCACTGCTTGTGCAACACCTCTCTGGAACAGTAATATGTCATACATTATACATCATAAGAACAAACATTAAGTATCTTATACGTAATTATTCCAACAGACACCCAGTTGTTTTAGGAATGGGGGAGGAAGTGTGAAGCTCCTGAGCCTCTTTCTCTGACTAAGGATGTCTGGTTTAGGAATCTCAATCACATCTTTGCTGTTTTCAGACGAGGTGGTTCTGCTGGTTTGCTCCGGAGAGCTTGTTTCTATAGGTCTGAGGCCGGGGACAACGTAGACCACTCCATTTGGGATGTAGGATCAGCTCTATTAGAAGGAGAGTTTGAGCAAGGCTTTTAAAATATATTTAACTCCCCTTTAAGCCACAGAGGGAGAAGCTCCATCTGGGGCAAATATGGGAGTAGAACCATTGTTAAAGTGTGAGAAAAACTTGGTTTCTGTCTTGGATCTGTATGACCCAAGCTCAGATAGAGTCATTGAAGTCATTTATGATTCAATAGCTTAAAAGATTTAACTTTAAGTCTTCTAAAAATAAAATAACTACACAACTCAAGATTCAAGTATGTTTTATTTTATTTGAAGAAAAATGACACAACAACCCCATTTTCTCTGTGCAGGAACTGCTCAGTTTGATCGGAAATGGATCAGAAGCTTCTGCTGGCAGGACTTTCATCTTCTGTTAGGACCAGGCCTGGGGGGTCTACTGTGTTGGTTGGGTCCGATGTATTTCAGCGGCGTGTACTTTGGCTTCTCAATCACTTCCAGACCCAGATAAGGCTGCAGGGCTCGAGGAACGCGCACTGTTCCATCCTGAGGTTAAAAAGGCAATTTAAATCACCAGACAGGATATTTTCATTCTGTAACAACAATCTTCACTGCATTTTATTAGAATTTTATGGGATAAAAACGAAGAAAAATGACATAAGGCTCTCCATTTTCCTTTAATATGCCTAAATAAAACACAGCTGCCTTCAGAGGAACAATGATAAGCAGAGGTGGAAAGAATACCAAAATAATGTAGTCAGGAGAAAGTACAGTTACATTAATGCAAGTTTACTTCAACTCACTTTAGGTTCAAAAGTTAGTAAAATAAAAGTAAAAAGTATCTCCAATTAACTTTTATTATAAAAAATAAGATGTTTTCAATGAGCAGGATAAAGTCCTTCTTGTACTTTTCATGAAGAAAAAGATTAGATATTGGCCTTAAACTCTTCTTACATAAAGATGCATCTTAATGGTAACCCAAAAATAAAACCCGTCAACATGTGACATTAATCTTTGGGAGGTATTAATTGTTTTTTAAACATTACAAACTACACTGGAAAAAATCTAAATAAGTCATTTTTTCTTAAAATAAGTGCATTTGTTCTTGGATTAAGGAGGTAAAAGAGACATTTTGCCAATGGAACAAGACAATTTACGCTTAAAATAAGAAAACACAATAGCATTGTCTTATTTCAAGTGCATATTATCTAATTATCTTATTTTAAGAGTAAAAATACTCATTCCATTGGCAAACTATCTGATTTACCTGCTCAAATTAAGGGTAAATACACTTAATCTAAGAGATTTTTACTTATTTCTAGATCATTTTTCCAGTGTAAATGTTTTAGCGATCTCTTCAGTGGATCATTTCCCTCCATCTCAGCATCCTTCTGTATCACCAAACCCTCTGCATCCTTCATCTATGAAGCTTCTCTCTGGTTTTCCTCCTCCTGAGAACCTGCTACTTCTGACTTTTAACAAACCCACTATCCCTCTAATCTGTTTTAAATAACTGTTTGAATTAAAAGCTTTAGCATGTTATGCACCACAACCCAGAAAATGATCCCAGTTTATCACTAAACTCTGAAATATTTGTCTCTTTCCTCCACTTGCTCTGTTTTTTTTCAATGCAGAATAAAATATAGATTTTATGTTTGTCCTTTACTTCAAAGATCTAGAGATTTCTACTTAGCTTTGAAGCCGCAGAGAAAAAAAAAAGTTTTCAGAAGACCTTAATTCTTTAAATTTGGACAAAACACAGGAAATGAGCTCCTTTATTTGAACCCTTTCCTGTTTTCTGCATGGAAAGATGGACGGTTTGTGCCTTACTTTGGTCTGGTGGGTTTCCAGGATTGATATGATCATTCGAGGAATCGCACACGCCGTGGCGTTCACCTAGGTTAGAGACAATGAGAGACGAAATGTTCATGGTGTACTGCAGAGCATTAGCAGCGTACGGCGGCGGTCCTTACTGTGTGGGCGTACTGCAGGCTGCCGTCCTCCCTCTCATACAGCATGTTGAGGCGTCTGCTCTGATAGTCTGTACAGTTGGAGGCACTGGAAATCTGACACACAGGAAAGAGCAGCATCAGCGCAGTCACTCATCGGAGTGGCTGCTTGTGTTTAACTGCAGATTAACGGGTGAATATTAATGAAACTCGAAATATATCGACTGCTTTGAGGAAACAAAACACTAAAGTGGGGCAGACCTCTCCATAGCTGTTCCTCCCTGGCATCCACGCTTCGATGTCGTACTTCCTGTACGCAGGAGGACCCAGCTCCTGAGTGGGCATGTCTAGAACTCTGTACAAAAGGAACAAAAATAAACAAGAGGATCAACAAATGCCATGAAAAATGTATCATAGTAAATGAACACGTTTTTTTTCTGGGTCTTGAAACTGGATATTTTATATTTAAAGCAAGACAACAGAAAATAATTGGAGTGAGGAGATGGACAGCGCCTCTTCTGTCACCTGAGACCCTATTAAACCTTGGTTTCACTGAAAAGTATCTCCATGAGAGATTTGAACCCAGCGGAAGGACTTTCAGGCTTCTGACTAAGGAGGAAATGCTGCATCGTTTTGAAACTTCACTGCTGTGGCTGCAGTTAATGGTAGTTTAAAAACATTTTCTTTCTTCCAAGATCTACCTCTCCTAACATCTGTAGGAAAATCATTTATAATAGTTGGTTTAAAAAGCTAATAAGAAGAACTGCTTCAGTGGAGGGGCCAAACACCGGGACCAGACATTTAATTAAGCGGCAATGTAACTTTTAGCCACTAGAGGCGCCTCTTCCTGTCCAAGCAGACCTTTTCCATCCGTCGGTGTAAGCAGGCTGGATCAAAAACTGCCCCCTAACCACTAACACTTATTTATCAAGTCTAAATCGCAATAAAGTTTAACTTAATAGTTGTGGAAGGCGCCTTGATTAACGGTGGGGGGGGTATGAACAAGAAAAGGAACAGCCTCTTCCCTCCAACGGAAAAGCAGTGGTTGCTAAGGCAACACAGGGATGCCCTATGTGCACGGCTGTAGCCCCTTTCTTAAAACTAATGTATATGGTCAGAAAAAAAAAACATGTCAAAGAGGACCCTCCATTTAGGAATTAAATACTTTTTTCCTCATGTCTAACTTGGTGATTTTTTGTGATGAAGATGCAGCAAACCAGTTGAACTGACGTTTAAATGCACGCATTTCTTCCACCATCAAGCCACTGCTACACCTGCAGCCAAATTCCACTTAATGCAGACTCGCTTTTTAAGGGCTGAACGGTCCACTCGCCCGACCCACTACAGGGTTTGGGATTTGCCTTAATGTGGAGGAACCTCCGCAGGAACGTGAAAACAGAGGGTTAGTGCTCAGGCTGTGTGTATTTAAATAATTTATAATTATTTTACATGAATTGTATTTCTTAACCATAATGGGTTTTTTTGTAATTGGTATTGTAATTGTATCTTGTGATTTTATACGTGTGTTTATTTTTAAGGTTGCCTTTTTTATACCTGGCTGGGGGACTACAGATGAAAATTAGCATTCCTTAGCTAACTCTGGTATATTTACATTGTTTTAATGTTGATTAATGTACACTGTCCCATTTCAAATAAACAATAAACAAACAAGGGTTAGTGTTTAGGGGCCAGGTTGGGATTGGGCCAAAGCATTCTTTCTAAAAAGAACAAAGATATACTGGTGGCAACATCTGAAACATAGAATTTCCCTTCTTTAAATGAAGGGGGGGTGTTTAGTATAAGTTTATTCTTATACAGGTTTAATCTAACAGACAACTTTTATTTATATGAATAAAAAACAAAATGAATTTGCAGTAGAGGGAACAGGTTTTCTGACATATTAAAGTGTCAAGGAAAAACAAATCTGTCAACATTTTTTTTGCTTATTCAACCCCTGATGCTGCAGTTGTGTGTTTCCTGACCTGTAGTGCAGTTCCAGGGCAGAAAACATCTCCTTCTGCAAGGAAACAAACTCCTCCAGCAGCTGGGAGCTCTCCTCTCCCGTCTCATCAGCCGTCACACCAAACATCTCCACCTGAAGCAGAACATAAAGGGATAAAGACCACAGCCTTTAGGATTAACTTTCCATCTGGACTTTAACTCAAATCTTCCATCTTCTGTGTCTTTGACCTTATTGAAGTGATGGACTCTGTAAAGGCCCCACGTCTCTCTGCCGGTGTCAGTCTCTGCCCTGTAGCAGGTGCTGCTGCAAACCGTCCTGCGGTGAGAGACGACAAGCCGCGGTGGTTAGTTACAAGTCGCTCCGTCCGCAACCGAAGATGAAGTGAGGAGAGCTTCTTACCTGACAGGCAGGTCCTTCCAGTTTACTGCGTGATCCATGAAATAGCCTGTGAACATCCAAACAAATAAAAATTGACAGCAACTCAGCAGGGATTTATGCACAGTCCTAACAGTAAGATGAACGCAAAGGTTCTCCATTACCGTTTCTCCATATTGAACAAACGGTGTTAAATCAACAGCCTGAGGAAGTGGAGGCGTGTTGTGGAAACATGAAGGAGAGAAAGTCTCACCTGCCACCCCCACCTCCCCCGTTCCAGCCAGGTTGAGGTCTGGGAAACGTGCCGGGTCCAAGGAGTAGACCTGAGAGCGCTGAGCGTTTGGCTGCATCCCACAACCCTCCTGGATGTGGGGATAAAAAAAAAAAAGAGAATAGAAAAAATAAAATATATATGTTTGCAGTTGATTGTTGGTTTAAAGTCATTCAGTTCATACTGCTGGCATTAGATGTGATACTCACAAACACCACCCCCTTTAGCATGTCTGGCACAACCAATGGAATGAAGCCCTGCAGCAGATGAAGAGAACTCAGCTTTCTATGCTTTTTTATGCTTTTCTTTGCCTTTATTTTCCCAAATGGGATCTCACCCGTCGCTGCAAAGTGTCGAGGGCAAAGTTCTGAAGTGCGGTTTGAAGCCTGGCCCCGGCTCCCCTCAAATAATACGACCGGTGTCCGGAAATGTGAGACAGATGCCTGCAGGAAACGATGGTCTTTAGGTGATTTCACTTATGGGTCACAAACGTATTGAGCCAGTTCGGTGAAACCCGCCTTACCTCTGTCTGATGAGGCCCAACTCCTCCCCGAGCTCGACGTGGCCTCTAGGCTTAAACGCAAACTCTGTAAACAAAGCAGGGTCATGATTTTCTGCCATAAAAAATATAGTTTGAAGCATGTAGAGCTTTCAAACACATAAATCACCTGCTTTCTTTCCAACATACTCCACCACCCTCGCTTGGCTCTCATCTCCAACTGGCTTAAAATAAAACAAAAGGGTAAATAAGTGAGTAAAAATGTATTTGTACAGCACATTTTCAGCTGCAAGCCTATTCAAAGTGGTTTTCATCATAAAAACATCAAAACAAGTGTGCAGTAAAATTATTACAAGCATCAATCACAGCAAATCATCAAAACATCAGAATCGTCACACAAAATCAGAAAAACCATCAATCAGATCAACACGGGGAGACGGTCACTGTGTACAGCTGTTCACCTGCTGATCAAAGGCAGCTCTAATTAGGTGGATCTTCAGCCTCGATTTAAAGGAGTTTAGTCTTTTGCAGTTTGCTCCAGATTAAAGGCGAATAAAAACCAAAAACTGCTTCTCCATGTTTAGTTCTGATGACACAAAGTAGACTGGAACCAGAAAACCTGAGCATTCTGGAAAGTTGACGCATTGATAGCAAGTTTTTAATGTATTTTGGTGTACATTTATAAAATAATAGCAGCATTTTAAAGTCTGTTCTCAGAGCCATGAGAGGCAGTAAGAACTTTAAAGCCACGATGGTGTGCTCTATTATTCTAGCCTTAGTGAGAACACGAGCAGCAGCATTTTGAATCGACTGGTCTGAAAGTGCTTTGTTTTTTTTTTTTTTTGGCAGACCTTTAAAGATGCTGTTGCAGTAATTAATGCATCTAAAGATAATATAATCTGAGGTCCTCCACGGTCTGTATTTGTGCATTGAACGCCAGTTTCAGCGCTGTGCTGCTGAAGCTCAGTGTTTTCGCATCATTAACTGTTTAATGAAACTGTTCGAGTGACAAAACAGCTTTAAAAAGGAGAAACGTAACCTCCAGGCTTTAGCTGCAAACCTAAACCTCATCATCGATCCTTGGGATTAGTTTTTTTTATTTCATGTGTGTCCTCACCACATCAGGGTGAGTGCTGTTGGGCAGACGTAGCGCTCGGCTGTAGTGCTCCTGATCCAGCTCAGTGTCTTTAAGGTAGAGCTGGTTCAATCTGACGCGGATGTCGCGGCCCCTCTGCAGGGCCTGGGTGTACTCTGGGAGCTGCAGGAGAAACGTTTTGGTCAGACATGAGCGATGCATCATAGTCAGAGTAAACACAGGTTGGGTGCTTTGGTTCCACTCACATTAGCCAGGGATTTCTTGTCATTTTGGCTCTGTGGGAAAAAAACAAAATTAACCTATTTAGAGACACAACTTTATAATCCCACGAAAAGAGGCATAAAAAAGGAACAAACCAAAGAAATAATCTTACAAGAAAACTTTTTATTTCCAGCATTTTTATATACATACATATACATTTTATATACATACTTACATACATATATATATATATATCTATATATATATATAGATATATATATACACACACATATATACACTGTGTGCAGAATTATTAGGCAAATTAGTATTTCGACCACATCATCCTTTTCATACATGTTGTCCTACTCCAAGCTGTATAGACTTGAAAGCCAATTAAGCAAATCAGGTGGTGTGCATCTCTGTAATGAGAAGGGGTGTGGCCTAATGACATCACACCCTATATAAGGTGTGCTTAATTATCAGGCAACTTCCTTTCCTTTGGCAAAATGGGTCAGAAAATAGATTTGACAGACTCTGAAAAGTAAAAAATTGTCAGATGTCTTTCAGAGGGGAGCAGCAGTTTGGAAATCGCCAAGCGGGATCATCGCACAATCAAGCGGTTCATGGCAAATAGCTAGTGATGCTGAGATGAGGCCTCATGAGGCATTGAATCATTTTGGCCAAATTGCTTCAACGATCCCCACAGTTCACGAGGCTCCATGTGAACATGTCACCACCTACTGGTTGAGTGGAGAACTACAGTTTGTAATAACCAAACCAATGCAAATTAGCCTCATCAGCCAAAATAATTAAGTATAATCGCAACTTTTAAAAGTCAAAGGTAGGTCTTGAACCATCAACCTCAGGAGTGGGAGCCTGTGTCTTACAAACGAAGCCACTAAAATTGTTGACCGTTTAATGGAGAAAATACTACTTAACACTGACGATGATATTATGTCCTGTGGCTTGCTCAGATTTTGATCATTACATTGTTTATTCTAACCAAAATAGTTTTAACCAACTAGATTGGTTCGAAAAACAACCAACCAATGTATTCTTACAATCTATCCAAACTCTATCCAAATTACAGCAACTGTCCTACAAACTCCCACATCTTGACTGAATCCTGAGGCTGTTTAAATGCCTGCAGAAATTCTTGCGCTTTCTGAACCACTTCGCAAAGCAGTCACGTGGTATCACGGTACCGAGGCTTCGGACATCCTCAATTTTGGTCCCTCCTCTAAATGAATCACGCCTCGACACGCGCTTTGAGGAAACGCTCCCTTCATTACTCAACACACGTCTCGAAGCCTCGGCTCATCTCATAACATCACTATAAATAGCCGACAGGGGCGCAAGAAGCGTGTTGGGAAAAAAAA